GGTAAACACTGAGTTAACTGACAGAAGTTTGAAAACTGTAGGAAGTGCAGTTTGATGCTGTACGCTGCATGAAGACATTGGACTGTGTGAATCAAGGGGAGGCCCCTGAGTCTGGCATACACTCAGATGCACTTGTTCCCCCTAATTGCATTGCAAATCTTCTTCTGACTGTTCGGCTATCCCGCCTCTAGTGTCTGCTTGAATAAATACAGAAATGTCCAATCAGCTTCCCTTGTAAAATCTCATTGCAGTGTTTTGATATTGATCACAGATTGTTTTGAGATGTAACAAGAGAAATCTGTCATAAACATTGACTAGCCAGTGTGTTCTCCTATATGAGTATATTTAAGAAGTGCGATTTTAGCTTTCTGCTTCCAGAGAAAAGCCATTGCTGTTATATCTGTTATTGAAGTTATTAATTATGGCACAGGGTTCCCCATTCAATTTGGTAGGCAGCATCTGATTGAAAACATTTCAGAAAGAGAAGTTAGCTGAATGTATAACTGGAAAATTAAATAACTACTGGGAAGTTGAGGTTACTGGAATGTAAGAGAAATAATTTTGGGTAATTTGAAATGCTTCCTGGGGTTCCATAATACTGCAGTTGGGAAATTTTGCTTTGGTATCTTTGGCCACTTAAATGACTTGATGGCAATAGTCCTTTGTTCTGCTATTAGTGGCATGATAGCTAAAAACCATTTTATATATATATATTTAATACATTCAAATGACTATTGCTACTTTTAGAGAAATAATATTGACATGGCAAAAAAATTCTACATGAACAAAATAGTGAAGTAGAAATTTAGAGATAATTTAATATTAATTATGTAATATGAACAAAAGTGAATTTCAGAATTGATTATGCTAACTTCTATTACATGTATTTTACATAGGTTGTGATATATGCTTTGTATGTCTCACAGATTTAAGGTAGCTTGCAATTTAATAATTGGAATAGGGTTTTTAAAACTCCATGGCTGTGTATATATTTCTAGTAACAGTTACTTTGTTGTAAAATTAAGTGGAAGGTAAAATATATCAAGGGTTTATTGCTGTCCTAGAACTATGTGGAGACTCATTAAACAGCAGGGAGTTCATGGTCAGATTGATCGTTGGGCCTGGGATTGGAAGAGTAGAGATCAGGGAGTGTGAAGGATTCAGACGGAGAGAAGGCTCAGGTGGGTAATGAGAATTGTGACATCCAGGAGAAGTGTGCTATATAGAAGGCAGAAGGAGCAAAAAGAATTTTAAATAATGAGGAGAGAGTAAAGAACAGTGCTCTGCAAAGTCAATAACTTAAAATCTGAAAAAAAAATAAAGAGAGGAGAGTAAGAATGTTTGTGGTAATTGCTTGGCTAATGGAGAATACTCTCCATTTCATAGCATTCAATACTAAATATTTTAAGGAGATTTTTTGGTGGCAACTTGACATCATAAAATGGAAATAACTCATAAGGCACTCTTCAAAAATGAAATATAATAATACATTTAAGAAATGTTAAGAAATGGATTGAGAAGAATTTGCTAAGGGTCAAAGCTAAAGTTATTTCAGCATAAAACAGTTAAATTCCTAATCAGATTATCTCTTCTTTCAAGCCATTTTGCTTCTTTATTTACAGAATTAGATATATGAAAACATGAAATTGTCAAACGTATTTGGGGGTGACTATTAGTATTAAACAGGATTCTTTGCTGTTATAAGGATTATGTGATGAGTGAACTCCTATAACGTTTCAGAGTTCAATTCCAGAACAGCTTTCCAGGGTTATCTAAGTGGACAGATTAATCTGTCTGCTGAATGAGCACAGCATTATAGATACCAAGTGAAGCCCAAGCAAATAAGGCTAAAGAAAAATCAGTAAAGAGGTTAACAGGTGGCAAATGAAGACAATCACCTCAGTTTTATGAAAATATTTGATATTTTCTCTAGGGAACATTGAGAGGCCAAGTCTCAAGATAAAGAAAAGCAGATAATAGTCATCCAGGCAATCCAGGCACTTTTGGCCTTGTTTGTAATAGAATTTGGTTAGCTTTTCCAGGCTTCTGACTGTGGAAACCCAGTCCTTGCTCTGTTCCCTTAGGAGCCTCAGCTGCATTTCCATGATGCATGTGGTATGTGTGCAAGAGTCCCCATATTTGATGAATGAATGAATGCAAGAATGAATGACCAAATACTTGACATTGCAAAATGTCAAATGGATCTTTTGTTGTTGTTAATCCTCACCGGAGGATATTTTTCCCATTGATTTTTTTTTTCTTGAGATGGTGGGAGGGAGGGAGGAAGGAGAGAGAGAGAGAGAGAGAGAGAGAGAGAGAAAGAAACATCGATGTGAGAGAGACACATCGATTGTTTGCCGATGTGGATGAGATCAAACCTGCAACCCAGGCCAACTGGGGATGAGATCAAACCTGCAACCCAGGTACATGCCCTTGACCAGGAATCAAGCCAATGACCCTTCAGTGGGTGGCCAATGCTCTAACCACTGAGAAACACCGTCCAATGCTCAAATGGATCCTTTTTTTGGGGAGAAAAGTGGGGAATTTGGCCCTCAGCCCTGGTTTGTAGACAGACAAAGTCTAGACCAATGGAAATCAGACATTCATAATTTCATGCCTGGATTCTGTATGATTGTAATTTGCTTCCTGGTTCTAAACTAGGCACTTGAGCAGGCAGGTAAAATAATTTACTCCAGAAAGTACCAGTTTTAAAATTGCTACTGTGGAGCCCTAAATGGCATCTTTGTGTCCCAAAAGAGTTCTTCTGTATCCTTTGCTCATGGTGATGATTCAGGATTTGCACGGCTTTCCTTTCCCTTCACTCTCTGAGGCTGGTGCTTGTCATTTCCCTTGGAGGTCTCTGGGTGGCTGCACACTGACGGAGTTAAGTACTTTCTGAGATTGCTTTCTACTCTCTGAATTTGAAGAAATCAGAAGTGAGACACACAGGACTGAGATGACAAGTGTAAAGGCTGGTGTGTGAAACCAGCTTCTGAAGCGCTCAGGGTGCAGCTTTGAAAACTAATTTCTCACCGTTTGGTGATCATGAAGTACTCCTATCTGCTGTTTTCTTTATTTTCCAAGCTGAGAGTTTATATCCTGGCCTTTCCCAACTACTTAGTGGGTTGTATTGGTTAGGTTCAAGGCAGTAGTGCCATGTTTTAGAGACACCTAGAGTAAAAAAATTACATGAAATTTATAATTAACTACATTTTGAGAAGTCATTGGTCTACTCTACATAGACTAAGAAACCTCAGTATATGTATAGCATTGGAAAAGTAGCTTACGTACTTTACCTAGAAAATGAAGATAAAACAAATTTTCTCATCCAAACCTTTCTCAAAAGAGTATGTCATTATGAAAAATGATAAAAATGAAAGCGCTGAAAGACATCAATCTGTGTTCTTATTAGGTAGAATGCACCTGTCATTTTTTTCACATTAGACTGTCAAATTAGCTTCATATATATGTATCATATATCTTTAGCAACAACTTATTCTACATGGTTTTGAATAAATGAAGTGGTCTCATGCTGCAAATAGATTGATACTCTTTTTGATGCTGCATGATTGGACTGTTTTCAAAACTCAAACTATATATTCTTAACCTAAGTGAAAATCAGATTGAATCAATATGATTAAAAAGTTTGTAAATTCAGCAAATGCTTTTTTCCAAATGTCAGTAATAGTCTTTTAAAATCTAATTTTTAAATTTCAAACCATATCCTATTTATATTTTTTAAGAGGAGAATCAGTAATTTTTGTGTGTGTTTCAGTCACAATTAACTGGCAACCCCACAAACCAATAAAGCATGAAACAATTTTAATATATTAAATAAACCAAGCTCACAAATTTCCTATCTTTAGAGGTTTTACATAGAGAGAGACATGTGTAATGAGGCTTGTAGCAGGTTTGTGTAGATGTCATTGTTTGTGTTTATTCTGTTCCTTTGCATCTATTCTGTTCCTCTGTACCTCAGAGGAGAGATAGGCACTTAAGAATAGTGGCCACATAGACACTTTGGAAAACATTAAAAACAGAACTACCATATGATCCAGGAATTATACCACTTCTGGGTATATATCCAAATGAAGTAAAAACAGGATATTTAAGAGAGATCTGCACTCCCATGTTCATTGCAGCATTGTTCACAATAATCAAAATATGAAAACAACTTGTGTCCATCAAAATGAATGGATAAAGAAGAGATTTCATATATATTTGTGACAACACGAATGAACCTGGAGGGCATAGAAAAAAAAAAGACCAATACTTTATGGTATTATATGTCGCATCTAAAAGAAAAAGTCAAACTCAGACATAGAAAGTAGAAAGTGGTTGCAGGGGCTGGGGATGGGGAAACAGGGAGAAGTTGGTAAAAGAGTACAAACTTTGTTATAAGATAAATAAGGTCTGAGCATCTAGTGCAAAACATGGTGATTATCTATATATATAAAGAGCCAGGGGCCGTCACATCTGAAACAACCGAATGGACGACTGAACAGGCTGAGTGGGGCGACAAGGCCGGCAGGGGGTTTAGTGAGGGGCGACCAAACGACTGAACAGCAGGCTGTGTGGGGCGACCAGGCCAGCTAGGGGGGCAGTGAGAGGCGACCAGGCCGGCAGGGAGCGCAGTTGGCGGCAAACAGGCCAGCAGGGGGGGCAGTGAGGGGTGACCAGGCCAGCAGGGGGAACAGTTGGGGGTGACCAGGCCAGCAGGGGGGCTAGTGAGGGGCGACCAAGCCGGTGGGGGGGCAGTTGGGGTGACCAGGTTGGCGGGGGCAGCAGTTGGGGGCAACCAGGCCGTTAAGGCCCAGTTAGGGGCAGTCAGGCAGGCAGGCAGGTGAGCAGTTAGGAGCCAGCCATCCCGGATTGTGAGAGGATGCCCAACAGCCAGTTTAGGCCTGATCCCCCAGGATTAGGCCAAAACCGGCAGTCAGACACCCCTTGAGGGGTCCCAGATTGGAGAGGGTGCAGGCTGGGCTGAGGGTACCCCCCACCCCATGCACAAATTTCATGCACTGGGCCTCTAGTAGTTAATAACACTGTATTGTATAATTAAAATTTGCTAAGGGCATAGAACTTAAATATTCTCACCCTCCAAAAAAATAATAGGTGATGGATGTGTTAATGAACTAGATGGGAGGAATACTTTTCACAATATGATATATACCTATATCAAATTACAATGTACACTTAAATATCTTACAATGTTATTTGTCAGTTATACCTCAGTACAGCTGAAAAGTAATCATTGACCTGGGTGTAGACACAGAGCTTTAGAAATGGGCATGTGTTGTAGGTCAATAGTGTCTCCCAAAATTATGTTTAAATCCTAACCCCTAGTACCTCAGAATATGACCTTATTTGGGGATAAGATATTTACAGTTAAAATGAAGTCATTAGAGTGGGCCCTAATTAAGTATAAGCAGTGTTTTCATAAAAAGAGGAAATTTGGAGACCAGCAGAGTGGGAGAAGGCCTTGTGGAGATGAAGGCAGAGATTACAAACCTAGGAACCCCAGAGATTCCCAGCAAACTACTAGAAGCCAGGGAGAGGCCTAGAACAGATTCTCCCTCACAGCCCTCAGAAGGAACCAGCCCTGCTGACACCTTTATTTTGGACTTCTAGCCCCCAGAACTGTGTTCATATGTCTATATATCTATATCCACCAGTGTCTACTTTGTGCATCAAAGGATTGTGCTTATATAAATCATTATTTAGAAAGTCTCTATACCTTGAATTAAAACACAGAAATACTGGGATCGGTAGGGACAGTATTCATTTTATTAACTGGACAATGTATGAGGTTGGTAGTTTAATCAACTGATTACTCTTTTTGGTTGTAATCAAGTTGACTCCAAATTGGCTGCCTTTCTCAAGTGCAAATTCTCATCACTTGGGAACTTCAAGTGGAAGATTTTGTTCAAGTCTCTGCAGGTGCCTTTGCTGCTGCTTGCCGATCAGAAGGTGTCTTTGCACTTGGAAAATGGGATGTGTGATTTCCTCATGCTGAGGAAAGTGAAAGCTTAGATGAGCTATTCAACTACTTCCCTGCGAATGCCATGTCAGTGGGACGGGGTGAAGGATTACATTGTGGAGAATTTTGAAGCTAAATATAATCAGGCAACACCTCTGTCTTTTGAAGAAGCTGATGGCCAGGTGCTTTAATCAACTTGAATATTAGTTTGAGTGAATTAAAAACTCTCACAGCATTTTGGCTGGTCCTTAATGACGTCAGCCCACTTGGTTGAATGTCTCTTCTTCATTTCCACTAGCGACAGCCTTCTCTGTCTTAGATGGTAACCTCCTTCCTGGCAATGAGCCCACCTAGTAATGTCTTATGTATGGCATTTAATGGGCTGCCACATCCAAAGAAGGGCCCAATTGTTTTAAATACAAACAATGAGATAATTTGGTAGGGAGGTTTTTTGGATGAGCACTGAGGACTTTATACCTCTGAGTTTGTATGCTTTACTAATCTCATTTAAATATGTAAACCACTTGCTAACTTGGGGTTTCCTCCTGGTGTCAGGTTCTCCCTTGCTATGGACTCCAGTCAGGAGGGACTAACCAAACCTACTGGCATCCAGCAGGAAATAATTTGGAATCAGGGCTGTTTTAATTTTGCAGGTTCTTGCAGCCTCTCTTCACCTTGCAAGGCAGTGAGGTGCAAATTGATGGAATGAAATGTCCAAGGCCCTAGACAAGAGAAGAATATAGGCACTGGTTTGTTCCTGAAAATCAACATCTCGGTGTAAACTTTTTATTAGATCTTTTCATATTTGCTTTGAAAGACAACTGTGTGAAGATGGCTTGGAAGACTTACGGGAACCATTGTGACATTTGGTGTTGACCGAAATTTATGCGCAAATGTACTCATATGGGGTAGCAGTGCGAGTTCTAGGATAAATTACCAGCTTTAGGTCCATTTTATTGTTTTAAATTGTTAGCCTAGATTTTGTTACATTAAACTCACATTTAAAAATTTTATGTACGAGATGACACTTCCCTTATTTCCTACTCTAGACAAGCAGAATACATCTTGGGAAAGCAGTTACTTTAGGGAAAAGGGAAATGGGCTCTGCTCTGGTCATCTGAGCATCATTTCAGCCCTCCCCAACCCTCCTTCAATCTCCTCTACATAGTTAGGAGTGGGCCAGTGATGAATATGCATGTGTCACACACCTGTGACCGAGAGATCCTCCATCAAGAAATGGCAGAGTATCAGTTACTTGAAACGGATGACCGGTGGCAGCTGCTGTCTGTGGCTCACCGGGCGCCCTGCCCTGCGCTGACAGCTGCACATCACATCCTGCCATCACACCACCTCTGCCACCTCCATCCACAGAAGGGGCTGAGCCTGCTGGCATCACTTCCTGGGCAGTTTGCTCCTGAGGTAGAATGTATAAAGATGTCTCTCTGAAGTTTAGGAAATAAGATCACAATGATTTTTACTTTTTGCTATTAATAAATAACAGTAGTCCACGATGTTTATTGGTTACTTAACTCTATGAACATCTTACAAAAATTATCTCATTTAGTCTTCATGACAATCCTTTACATCAGAGGCCAGCAAATTTTTTTTTATAAAGAGCCAGATATAAATATTTTAGACTTTGTAGGTTATGTACTGTCTCCAAACAGGGAAAATGTGTAAATGAATGGGCATTTCCATGTTCCCATACACTTTCTTTACAAAAATAGGTGATGGGCCAAATTTGGCTCATGGGTCATAGTTTCCCAACTCCTGCTTTCTGCTATCATACCCTTTTGATAGATGAGAAAGCTGAGGCCCAGGGAGTTTAAGTAAAGGGTCAAAATAGCACAGCTGTTAAAATGCAGAACCAAAGGAGTCTGACTTTCATTCCTTAGTCTTAACTCCTATGAGCTACAAGTTACCCTGCCATGAGAGATGACAAGAAATTGGATCTTAGTTTCTGCATGTTGTAAGTTATAGATTTTGACCCAAACTTCTAAGAGAGAAACCTCCAGTTCCCTTAGAAACGTGGAGGGAAGTATCAGTCCATGTCTTGAAGATGCTATTTAGATAATATAGATAATATAGGTAGTCTAGTCTATAGCACATTCAAGTGATGGGACTGCATCCTGAGTAATTGAATAAGCCTTTTAAGGGACTCCAAATGACCTGGTATTGTGGCCATTTTTGTCATTAGGATTGAAGAAGCCAAATTACCCTAATTTAAAAATGTATGTAAACTATTACTTTTTAAAAAAATATTGATTTTAGCAAGGAAGGGAGAGGGAGAGAGAGATAGAAACATCAGTGATGAGAGAGAATTGGCTGACTCCTCCACGCCCCCCACTGGAGATCAAGCCTGCAACCTGGGCACGTGCTCTTGACCTTAATAGAACCCGGGACCTTTTAGTCTACTGGCCAACGCTATACCCACTGAGCCAAACCGGCCAGGGCTAAACTATTACTTTTTAAATTTGATTATACATTGGTGGTCCATGTGTTACATAGTAAGATAACTTTGGCATATTCCCAGGAAAGATTTTTATTTTTATAAAAAATAAATTATGCTGAGGATTTTTATGTTTAATATAAAACCCTGGAGTGAGAAGTCTAAGCAGTTTTTATTTTCCAGGATGGACAATTTCTTTTGTGTTTTATTTCCATGGTAACAGTTAAGTTTCGACTTGAGAACAACAAACCTACATGATAACCATCCAGTTGACATTGTTGGGCATCCCCTTAGGGAATTCGTGTCATGGTATCGAGATAGCACCTGAAGTATGTTATAACACAGGCTTGTTTGTTGTTGTTTTTTTAAATATATAAAGCAAGGCTGAAGTTAGGAAACATTTAGTTTTAGGCAGCAGTTCAGCACACCCAAAATACCATGAGTGGCCAGACTTCAAAGACGTTCCCGGACACCATAAAGAGCTCCAGAACTCATAGTTCCTGACCTTAGGGTGAATGAAATTGTAGGAAGCATGCAGCTGGCAAAATGGAGGCTTCATGTGACTAAACATTGTTGCTTGTGCTTTGTTTGAGGGAAACTCAAAATGGAGACACTCCCTGGTGGAGAAATCAGAGAGTGGAAACGCTTGTGGGGAGGTAACCCTACTCTCTTTGAAAATCTGAAGTCTTTGAATTTAAGTGAGCCTCCATTCATTACTAAGGAAGCTGACAGAGAATAAAACCCAACTAGTGGAGAAGTTGACTGCTGTGTTCCTGTGAAGTGGTTACTGTGAATTAATTGGTGTAACAAATTATAAAGGGCATGGTCAATAAATGCAGAAAAAATTTTGTTGAATCATTTCCTAGAAAAGATAGTCTTAGGCTTAATTCATTTAATGAAAAAAATAACCCAAATAAAAAATGGAATTATGATACCATGGACAACTTTTTTGTTTATTTTCTTGTCGTTATTTTACATATCATATAGTCTACCCATGGTAAGTATTCCACTTAGTGACTTTTAAAATAAATTTAAAAATTGTGCAACTGTGGTAAACAGATTTCTAAGATGGTCTCTAAGATTCCGTTCCCTGGTGTATGAACCCTGTATATTACCTTCCCTTAATGGGCAGGACCTTTGAATGTGATGGGTTCCCATAATTAGACATTAAATGGAAAAGTGATGGGATTTTGCATATGTAATTAAGTTCTCAAGTCAGTCAATTAAAAGTTAGTGGAGAGAACCAAGATGGCGACGTAGACGCCTGTACTCGCTGCCGCCCACAACCACATCAGAATTACAACTAAACTACAAAACAACCATCATTCAGAACCACCTGAGATCTGACTGAATGGAAGTCCTACAACTAAAGGAGTAGAGAAGAAAGAATATTGAGACAGGTAGGAGGGATGGAGGCACGGACGGGCTGGTCCGACACCCACATGTGGCGTTTTTTTAATGGGGAAGGATTTCGTGGCTGCAGAGGCTTCCTGCGAGGAGCAAGGAGTCCTAGCTGAGCACCAACCCCCCAGCCAGGGTCCCAAAGGTGGGAAGAGAAGTCCCCATAACTTTGGGCTGTACAGCCAGCGGGGATTGTGGCTGAGTGGCACGGAGGCTCGGAAGAAGGCCCACTCCCAACTGGAAGCAAGGGGACAAATGGAGGATTTGGAAGACAAGGTTTGGATTTTCAGGCTGGGATTCTATACATAGGAATATAAGGTACCTTATGGTGCAGGGAAGAAAAGGGAGCCTCCATTTGTACCCTTGCTTGCAGTGGTCGAATGGCCTTCTTGTGGGTAACTCAGGAAAGATTTAACTGGAATCATGTTAATATTTTATACTTATATATAATTATATTTATATGTAATTACTATTTTAGCTCCAGACCCAAATGCAAAATTAGTTTCCAGTTTTTTCTTTTTTTCATGCATTATTGCAGTCTGAGAAAATGCTTTTATTTCCCCTTTATTTTGCTCATTGAGTACTTGAGTATTTAGCTAACAGGTTTTCAGCATATTTGTTTATTATGTTTTTGATAATTGAGAATCATCCATTTTTCTAGCTGGCTACTTAATTTAATGCAAAGAGGTGTCCTATGTTATTGGAAATTGATAGTCTTGTTATATAAATTATTTGAATAAAAAGAAGCATATCATCTGGCATAATTGAAAGAATTCTAATGTTATCTCTGAAAATTTAGTCACTGATTGCTGTTAGTTGTATTTTAAGTAATCCATATTAGAGGATCAATGCCATTAACCTTTCTTCATTCGTATTCTTTTTAAAAAAGACTTTTAAAAACAGTTTTAGGTTTACAACAAAATTGAGAGGGAGGTACAGAGATTTCCCATATACACCTGCCCCCACAGATGCATAGCCTTTCTCATTATCAACATCACTCACCAGAATGGTACTTTTTTTTTTTTTTACCAAGGATGGACCTACTTTGACATATCAGAATTACCCAAAGTTCATATTTGACCTTAGGGTTCACTCTAGGTGTTGTACATTCCATGGGTTTGGACTAATGCATAGTGACGTTTTAATATATCATTGTAATATTATACCTATACTAGAGGCCTGGTGCACAGATTCATGCACTGGTGGGGTCCCTCCGCCTGGCCTGTGCCCTCTCACAATCTGGGACCCCTCAGGGGATGTCGGACTGTGGGTTTCGGCTCAGTCCCGAGGAACCCCACTGGTGCACGAATCTGTGCACTGGGCCTCTAGTAGGCATATAAGATCTTTGGTTAATCTCTTCCTGCGCCCCCCCCCCCCTCTGAGATTCATCAGTCTGTTCCACGTTTTTATGCTTGTGCGTTGAGCATCTGCCCCCTAATGGTCAGTTTGCATCATAGCTACTGGTTGAGTGGTCGAATGGTTGCTTAGGCTTTTATATATATAGATTATTTTCATATTACATTGTGCACGTAGATGGATTAATTTAGCTTTAGATGTTAAATTGGGCTGATAATTCTAATAGAACTCTACAGTAAAACCTTGATATAATGGACTAATTCCCGTGAGGGGGTGTCCGTTACAGCCAAAAGTCCGTTATAAAATAAAGTAGGTTTTCTGAATATGTATGTTAAAAAATTGACAGATTAGTCAGTTTACCTGTTTTTACTTATGTAGACACATTTGTGTAATTAGAATTAAGGAAGTATGAAAAGTTTGATTTCACAGAAAAGTTTTCCATATGTATTACAGTAATTTTAAGTTTATACTGAATAGGTCTAGTGAGTGCGTGCATTCAGCAGTCACTGGGAATAAACACATGCACACGGCTGGGGTGTGGCTTAGCGCACTCGTCGGAATATCAGCTGCGTGCGTTAAAACTGCTGTGGAAAGCCAGCCACGCGGCAACAGAACCAATTTCCTTGCTCAATGTGGTGTGATCACGTGCTAATCATTCACCAAATGTTACAAGCAGTGACTCTTGGATTTAAATATGTAAAGTATGGTTGTAGATACGTAATATTTAGTTATGTCTGTGGAATTACTACAGTGTTTTTTTCCAACATATGGCGTATTCGCTAAAATTTCTTTAAAATAACTGAATTAATAACAAAAAAAACCCTTGTTAATTTAATTATAACAAATCTTGGTTAAAAGCTTTTTAAATTAACAGGGTGTTAAGTTTCACTTATGACATATGGACTGGAAATTTTGTCTGTTAAATTCCAAGACCATTCGAGGTCTGCAAAATCGTAGTAGCTTGGGAGCCTGGAATCTACAGAAATTCCCTGACTTGAGTAGGTCTGGTCCTTCCCTAGACTAAGTAGCGTGGCAGAAATCAGGCTGGTGAAATTATAATTTGCAAGATCAACTATGTCTTTCTTTTTTTAAATGTTGAAAATAATAATAATAATAATAATAATCATACTGAATATTTTCAGTGCCCTAAAAATCCCCCATGCTCTGCCTATTCATCCCCACCTCTGCACCACTAATTTTTTTATTGTCTCCA